ATCGATGACTGATTTTCTGAATGAATTCTGAGAGCCATTCCTTTCAGTTCCAATGCACTACCCCGACCAATTCGGCTCATCAACAGGCTTCATAATGAGAAAGCACCAATTCATACTTCGAGACACCTGTACCGCTTACTTTCTTCGTCTTCTTCCCTGCATCCTTCGATTTCCTTCTTCGTACATCTCCAGTGGCATCCCTTTCCAGTCACAATGTACCGGTGGGCAGCTGCGGAGGTCGTGAGTCAAGAATCGGCATATTTTCAGTCAACTAGCGCGCCTTCTTTAGAATATAAAGAAACAATGAGGTATGTGCGTCTGGACCGCTTTTTTATACAGCTTCCGAGGAATGCGAATTTTTTGCATAAATGATTAAGGATTGCTGGGAGCGAAGGATCTGCTTTTCAACGGAATTCTCAGTAGCGGGAACTATTTCGCGGCGATCGGCGTTGCCTGCTCGTCTGAACAGCTTGACGACGAGGATGCCTGAATGAGGAGGATGCCAAGGGTTGGATTGGCAGCAGAGCCAGACCAGCCGCCGCGAAACGGACTGGGCTACTGAGAATTTTATTGAAAAGCAGATCCTTCGCTCGCAACACTCCTTAATCATTTATGCAAAAGCTGTATAAAAAGGCGATCAAGACGCGCATACTTTATTGTTTCCTTACATTTAAAAGGAGGCACATTGGGCGGTTGGAAATGTGCCGATTCTTGGCTCATGGCCTCTGGAGCTGCTTACTATATATTGTGACTGAGAAGGAGTGCCACTGGAGATATACAAAGAAGAAAATCGAAGAAGACGAAGAAGCTTGAACTGGTGGCCCCTCATTATGAACAGAAGTGGCCAATCTGTAAATGAGCCGAATTGGTCGGAGTAGTGCACTGAAACTGAAAGGAATGGCTCTCAAAAATTCATTCAGGAAATCAGTCATCGAGTTCGGGTGGTTTCGAACAGCTCTTGCTTCTGAATGTGTATATAGCGCGCTTGGTGTACTGGAATTGTTGCGGCAGAGGGGCACTGGATTACGGCATCTGAGGAATGAACAGTTTACAGGTCAAGTAATTCCAGTTGCAGTTGTTATCAGTGTTATCACTGCGAGCGTAGTTCATGCTCGTGCTCTCAACTCATTGTTCCCGTGTGATCGCGTTGCTTCGTTTCAATGTGAACCGGTGCCTTATAGCTGGAAAGTGGACATACTGTAGCAATCAGGATTTGCTGAGCATTGTTTGTGCCGCTTGGACGAGGAAGAAAAAAATGCGGGAATATTGCCGCACCTAGTTCTGGCTTGTTGTAAACAAAACCGACCAGTCTAATGAAGAATCTGGATCAGTCTCTATTTGGAGGTAGCTTGAAGAATGAACGGAATTAAAGGAAGTGCTCAGTCAGTCAACTTGTCCGCGTAACTTCGACCAGCTCCTGTTCGTGAATACTGTTTGGCTTGCTTGGAATTCTGGAACTGTCCCGAAAAGCGACACTAAATTTCGGCGTCTGCTGCATCAGTCCCAGTTGCGTGTCAAGCAGTCCCCGTTGCAATCGTTATCAATGTTATCGTTGCAAATGTAGCTGATTTTGTTTGTCCCCTCCTCTCATTGTTTCTATGTGATCATGTTGCTTCATTGTCACTGTTGCACTGCCAAATATGCGTAAATAGAAATAATGAATATTTTCGATGTAGACGGTCTATCACTACACAGTCGCCACACACACACACCTGTTTAAACCCTTCCTTTCTTACAGGAGGAAATCAAAGTTTCCTGACTTTTGCATTGCGTAAGCACTATTTACAGCACCAGGGTTCGCTGGAACGCTGCCAGTCTTCAGTGTCTCTCTCGAAGTGGCGCTCTTAAAAACCATGTGTGGCTCTCACCGTGGGTGCTGCTATGAATATGCGCTTTTGCGGACAGCTACTCCAGCTAATTTTCGCACAGAACAGAGAACGTCTCCTAAAATCTGAGCTTTTTACCCGCTCTGGTCTCTAAGTTAGCACTTTCCCCAGACAAGCAGACACACAGACACACATATACACTCGCACATACACCATGGTCCATCACTAATATGCGTTTCCGCATTTCTGTAAATGTGGAAAAAGCGCAAGAACTGTAACAAAAGATATCAGCCCCGACTGGACGGCTCCTTACCAGCAGTACTTTCTGCTGTTTAGCAGACATCCCTCTCTCCCCCTTCTTGGTGGAAAGATACGCTGGTAAAGAGCCCAAAATGTTGATAAAGAGGGATTATCTAATCAAAGGGATGCCAGATTCCTTTTTATGCTCTTTTGCATATATGCAAATGCAAAATTGGCAAGAGGTTGTGTGTGTGTGTGTGTGTGTGTGTGTGTGTGTGTGCATGTGTGTCTGTGCGTTCGCACTTTTTGTCACCCACTTTCAACTCGAGGACCAGAAAGGCTGG